CGGTTCCAGGGACGGAGACCTCGCAGTGACGCAACACCAGCCTCCCGCTGTTCGCCCGTATCCCGCCCCCCCCAGCCCCGCATCCCTCCATCCCTCCATCCCTCCATCCCTCTAACCACCGTCTCCTCTGCTCCCCAGGTGAGCTGGTGGGCGTCCCGGCGAGCGGCGGGGCCGTGGATTATTCCCTGCTGGGCAGCCAACCCTCCCCTTCCCTCAGCTACACCGGCAGCTTCTTCATCAAGGCGGTACCGGAGCACCCCCAGGACCAGGAATCCCTGTTCAACCTGATGTCGGGCATCCTGGGCATCTCCCCCTTCTCCTCCTCTTCCGAGAGCCACCCGAGGCACCTGGACGCTCTTTACCCCTGTCCCGAGGTGGCTCAGGGCCAGCTGGACCTTTACCCCACCTGCCAGCCCGAAATGAGCGGATCCACCCAAACCCCCTTCCCGGAGCAGGGATACGGCGGATTCCCCGCGGCCGAGGGGGCTCAGCCCCTGCAGGCACAGCCCGCCTTGGGAAACACCTCCCAGTGCTTCTTCCAGCCCAAGCTCCTGGACAACAAGCAGGATATCAAGCTGTCCTCTGGCTCCCCGCCCCTGGACAAGTTCAAAGCCCCCTGTGCCCAGTGGGAGCCCCTCACCCAGCACCAGGCCTACTTGCCCGCCGGATACCCTTCTCCCGAAGCGTTCCCGGCCGCAGAGAGCAGCCAGGGGCTGTTTCACCCGCTGGGCTCCAAGATGGAGAGCGTCCTGTCCGTGAGCTGCCAGTCGGAGCTGGGCAGCCTGGCAGAGGATGCCGCCTGCTTCGGAGCCCATCTGGGATTCGGCTGCGAGCCAGAAAACTTCCCGGCCCGCGGGGACTTCGCCGACGCCAAGATCCACAACATCCCTCCTCCGCTGATGCCGGAATTCGACGCCGCCTTGGCCCAGCCGGAGGTGCTGCCGGGCCTGATGAGCTCGGCCGAGCTCCTCCACCCTCACCCCTCGCCCTCCGTGCCCCCCGCGGACTTTTTGGGCCACGCCGCCGCCGCCACCTCCTCCTCCCTCCCTTCCCTGCTCCCCGCCAACCCTCCCGCCCTGGCCCAGGAGCCCAAGAAGAAAACCCGGCGCACCAAGTGCTCCTCCAAGTGCTTCTGCCCCAAGCCCCACGAGAAGGCCTTCGCCTGCCCCGTGGAGAACTGCGTCCGGAGCTTCGCCCGCTCCGACGAGCTCAACCGGCACCTCCGCATCCACACGGGCCACAAGCCCTTCCAGTGCCGCATCTGCCTGCGGAACTTCAGCCGCAGCGACCACCTGACCACCCACATCCGCACCCACACGGGCGAGAAACCCTTCTCCTGCGACACCTGCGGGCGCCGCTTCGCCCGCTCCGACGAGAAGAAGCGCCACAGCAAAGTCCACCTGAAGCAGAAGGCCCGGACCGAGGAGAAGCTCAAGGGCCTGGGGTTCTTCCCCATGGGTCTCTCCTTCGGGACGCTGTGAGACCCCCGGCCTGAGCAGCGCCGGGAGACGGCGTTTCCCTGAGGTTCCACCCCCCCGGAGAGCCGGGGGTGAGGATTCCCTCCCGGGGCGGCCCCCCCGGGGAGAGGAGGCGAGGATGGGCCGTGCCCGGGGAAGGAGGAGAAGGGCACGCGCGGGAGGCGGAGGCGACGCCGCGGTGCCGGAGGTGGGATGTGGAGCCATCTCCAAATCCTGTGTTTACACGGAGGGGGAAAAGAAAAAAACATGGACAGAAAGAAATCCACGGAAAGGTGGGTTCTTTTATCCCCAAACCTACAGGCACTCAGTGTTTGTAGCCGTGATTTGCCCTGCCAGGACTTTGCAGGATGCTCCCGACTGGAGATTTCCGGATGGCACAGTCGGAGCCGTGGCTGCACCGGGTCCTTTCTCCCCAAGGAGAGAGATGCCACCAGGCTCTGGCAACTGGTGCCTAACAGGCCCTTTGGAAAGGTGATGTCATTATTATTATTATTATTATTATTATTATTATTATTATTATTATTATTATTATTATTATTATCCTGTTTGTAAAAAAGCAAAATCCTCTATCAGGAACATTCCAAATTTGTGTCTATTTTTCTAATTAAAGATTTGAGCTAATCCAAGCCCTCGCTGGGGTTGCTTCCTGCCTTTTCCATCCCGTGTTTCCGTTGGGTTTTTTAACCTCTTGCTGCTGCATTTTGGGGTAGAAAAAGGTGGTTTGATAATGAGCAGGGAGAGAAAAATCCATCGGTGCAGCGGGGAGGGGGTTGGTGACACTCGTCCTCAGCATTCCCAAATCCCCAGGTGGGGGCTTATCCTGGGAGAAGGGTCTTGTCCCAGGACAGAGCAGGATCCCTGCTCCTTACTGATGGGTCTCTCTCCAAAAAAAAGGATGAGGCTGAGTCCTGGAGGGATCTGCCCCTCTCCTGTGGGGACCCCAAACCCAGCCCAGAGCCCCCATCCCAGGCTCCCGGTCCCCAGTGGGATGTGGATGCCCCATGTGCCCTTGTATTTATCCACAAAAAACGGGATGAGATGCCTGCCCATTCCCCGTTTTCCACCTGGCTCATCCCCAGGGCTGGAGAAGATCCAGGCACCCCCAGGCAGGCCGGACATGGACCCCTGTGAGATTGGGGGTCTCTTCCCTCCTTTTGGCATTTTAAATGCTGGAGAGACGCTGGTCCCCTTCTCCTGGGAATACCAGTGGCTGGATGGCACTGGAGACGACGCTGCAGCCAGGGAATGTGTCTCCCATGGCAGAACTTCCCTCCTCTGGTGGTTAAAAATCAGTTAAAACCATGAAATCCCCAAATCCCGTCCTTCTGCTGGGAGATACTTGGATGGGGCACGCTGAGTTTTGGCTTCAATTAATCAGGAGAAGATTCCCATGGGAATGGAGGGAGCAGGAGCAGGGCAGTTGTCATGGATGCTCAGTTGTTTTAGGGATGATCATCCCTTCCTTGGAGAGGGGGAAAGTGAGGCAGGGAAGAGGGATGGCTGGAAAGCTGCTCTCTCCAGTGGGTTTTGTCCCATGGAGAGGGGGAATCTGCCCCCAAACTGTGTTATGAAGGAAAGAGGGGTCTCTCTGTCTTATTCCCTCATGTCCCCCCAGCCCTTTGCCAACATGTGGACTGGAGCATTCCAGGGCTAAACACCAGTTCTCCCAGCAAAATCCACTGTCCCAGTTATCCCGGCAAAATCCACTGTCCCAGTTATCCTGGAAAAATCGGAGCTCACCATGGGGTGCAAGGAACCTTTGGAGTTGGGGTGGGAGGCTGGGCAGGGGATGTGGAGGCTGAGAGCAGAGGTGGGATGTGGGAAAGGGCCAGGAGGAAACCTGGTGGAGGGGGAAACCCTAAATGTCCCCTCAGAGCCATCCCTAAAATCTCACACTCCCGATGACCCCGAGGGTGCTCCTGACCTTTGGATGAACCATTCCAGGAGTGTGGGAGCCCGACCCTGAGCAAGGAGCACTCCATGGGCTGCAGGTCACCCCAGACACCAGGAAAAACCCTTTTTCTGGGGGGACACCCCAGATGGGATTAATGGGGACCTCAGCCCCCAGGATTCCCTTGGGAAGGGGCTGGTTTGGGGGGGGATGTCGGATCTCTCCAGGCACAAGAGCCGAGCTTTCCCGTGCCACTGGCCATGAATGATGCATGAGGCCTTTATTAATACCCTCTGGAAGTGCATCCATAATTGATGCCGAGCCTGGAAGCTCTGCAGAGGCACCAGCTCCAGCCTTGGCCCTCTGCTCTCTCCGGCCAGCACTGCCAGGGCAGGGTGGGAAGGGATGGGAGGGATGGCAGGGATGGGACACTCCCAGCAGCAGCTGCTTCTGGGAGGGATGGGGTTGAAGGCACGTGGCTGTGTGGGTGAGAGGGGAGGATCAGTGACACCCCAAATCCCAGGGGATGGGGACAAACTCTTGATCCCATGTCAGCCCAGCTGCTGTTCTTCCCACGTGTCCAGGGAGAGGAAAACACGGCAGTGCTGGATGCCTTTGGCCCGGGGGAACAAGCTGAGGTGCTTGGGGGCTGGATGAGGACCCAGTCAGGGATTAAACTGGGATGATCAGGGACTGGATCAGGACCAAGTCAGGGATTAAGCCAAGGTCCTCAGGGACCAGCTGGGGACCAAGCCAGAGACCAAGCCAGGGTGCTCAAAGACTGGATCAAGACCAAGCTGGGGATCAAGCCAGGATACTTCAGGGCTGGATCAGGAGCAAACCAGGGATTAAGCCAGGGTGATCAGGGACCATCTCAGGATGAAGCCAAGGACTCAGCTGGGTGTTTAGGGATCAGCTGAGAACCAAGCCAGGGTGCACCTGAACTCAATCAGGACCAAGACAAGGATTAAGTTGGGGCAGTCATGGAGCAGATCAGGACCAAGCTGGGAACTAATCCAGGGAACTCGGTGACTGGATTGGGACCAAGCCAGGGGTTTTGAGAACCGGCTGGGAACCCAGCTAAGGACCGAAACAGGATGCTCAGGGACTGGATCAGGACCAAACCAGGGTGCTTGGGGATCATCTGGGGACCAAGACAGTGACTAAAACAGGGTATTCAGGGGCCAGATCAAGACCAATTTGGGAATCAAGCCAGGGCAGGACCAAGCCAGACTGCTCAGGTACCAGCTCAGGACTAAGCCAAGGACCAAAACAGGGTATTCAGGGGCTGGATCAGGACCAAGCCAGGGACAAAGCCGGGGTGCCCAGGGACTCAATCAGGACCAAGCCAGAATGCTCAGGGACTCAATCAGGATCAAGGCAGGGATGGGAACAGGATGGTCAGGGACTGTCTCGGGACCAAGACTCGGTCCTGGCACCTGTGGGTCCAGCCCGGGATGGGGAAGGAGCAAGGCAGGTGCCCAGGCTGTGCCACACACCCCCCGGGGGAGGGTGCTCGGGATGATCCCGACCGGGAGCTTCCAGGGACAGGGGCTTCATCGGTGGGGGCGAGGGGGAGCCTGGAGGGCAGAGGGAGAGCAGGGTGGGCAGAAGGGGAGCAGGGGGCTGCCATGGCAGCCAGGCCCGCGGCGTTCGTGGGGACACAGGCAGAGGGAGCTGTGCGGGAGCAACGCGGCAGCGAGACGAGCCGGGCTCCGGCTGCAGAGCAGCAGGAGGAGGAGGAGGAGGAGGAGGAGGAGGAGGAGGCGGCTGCTGGCGCTCGCCCTCCTCCTTCCTCCATCCCTGCATCCCTCCCTCACCATGCAGAGCCCCCCCTGAGCCCCCAGCGCCCGGGGGACCCGCCATCCCCAGGGTGCCCAGCAGCGCTCCCGCCACCCCGCCGGGGCCTTCAGCCTCTGCTTCCTTCCTTCCTTCCTCCTCCTCCTCCGCCTCCTCCTCCTCCTTCCCTTCCCCCCCCCCTTCCCGCCCCCCCGCAGCCACCACCCTCCCTCCCTCCTTCCCCAGGGCCTGCCTGGCATGGAGGTGCTGGCCACGGGGAGCCGGATGCTTCCCGCGGGCTGCATCGCTCCTGCCCCGCATCCCTGTGGCCGCATCCCTCCTTCCCCGCATCCCTGTGGCTGCATCCCTCCTGCCCCGCATCCCTCCGCCCTGGCACATCCCTGAGCCGCTCGGCAGCCGCCTCCTTTGTGCAGCGGAGCGGCTGTGCGGGCTCCGTGTCCCCCCCCACCCCAACCCCGCAGCCCCCCGGCTCGGGGGTGGCCGGCGGGCGGGCGAGCGGGAGAGATGCTGTCCTCGCCGGAGGAGCCCAGCGCGGGAGGTCGGCGGCCAGAAGCAGGTAATGGGGTGAAACGGGATGGTTTGGAGCGGGGATGCTGCGCTGGGAGGTGGCGGTTCGTCCCCAGGATGCTCCTCACCCAGGACCCCCGGGAGCGGGGGGACGCAGCGGGGACAAAGCCGCTGGCAGGAGGTGAGGGGGGGGACCCGCCGCTCCCCGCTCCGGAGGTTTTTTGGGGGGGGGATAAACGCGCCCCGGATTTTCACGCCCACCTCCCCCCGAGCCCCCCGTGCCTCATCCCCGACCGCCCGCGCCCACCAGGGTGCTCCCACCCTGCTCCTTCCCATCCCTCCGGAGAGCCGGGGATGGACGTGGATCGGCAGCACCCACCGCCCGGGCATCATCCTCCACCCCGGCACCGTCCTCCGCCGCCACCCCTTTTCTCCATCCCCCCCCTTCCCGCTTTATCCAGGCAGTGGAGCTGCCTGCTGGAATATAGATATATATTTTTTTTGGGGGGGGGGAGGAGGGTGGGCAGGAAAAATGTTAAACAATGCGAAGAAAGGCTCCATGATGAATCGCAGGTAGCGGCGCCCGGAGCAGCCCGGGGATGCTGCAATCCCCCGGCGCTCGGGAGCGTTTCCCGGCTCCGGATGCGTCGGGGGCTTTATTAGCGTGGCCGCCGTAGTAATGACTCCACTAATAATTTCCTTAAATCCCGCTTGTTGCCAGGGAGATGGGAGGGAAAGGGAGGTTTTGCGGTCACGGCGGCACCTGCCCAGGAAAAGGACCGGGCGATATGTGCTTCCCGATCCACCTGGGCCGGATCCTGCCTGGGTTTAAAGGCTGGAAAATACGGGATGGGGGTGGTTGGGTACTCCAGGAGCCGCGGGCAGGGATCCAGGCCTGAGATCCCGGAGCCACGATGCCGTGGCTTCATCCCTGTGGTGGAAAAGAGCTTTCTCATCCCACCGGAGTTGCCGGATGTGCTTTGTGCTCGCCCGGGGGTTTAACGTGCAGGGGGGTGTTTTGTGACGACCCCAAACAGCTCCAGAAACCCTCCCAGCTCATCTTGAGTTTTGGTGTGGGGGTTTTTTTAATGGATTTCTCGCCTTTACTGATTTTTTTTTCCCTTAAAAAATGGTTTCCCAACCTCGTGGCCTGGTTGTGCCCCCCCGAGGGGGATGCTAAGCCACAGGGGATGTCGCCCTGGGGAGCAGCACGGATGGAGGGATCCGTGGTGGATCAGTGCTCACCAACTGGTGGTAATGGGATGCAGGAGGGCTCAGAGGGGTTTTTAAGGCGGTGGGAAGAGCTCTTAGGGGGATATTGCAGTGGGATGAGCAAGGGATGCTCCCACCCAGGGGTGCCCTCGGAGTTTTGGGGTGAAAGCTTCACAGTTTTCACTGTTGAAGGAGAAATGAATGAAAAAATGAAAACATTGTGCCCCAATTTGTGCTTGTGCCTCCCAGGCTGGATTTTTCCTGGCTTATCCCATTTCAAAAGGGTGGGGGTTTCTGCCCCTGGTGTCTTGGAGGATTTTGGGAGTGAGGGGTAAACCAGGTCCCAGAGGGAACCTCACTTACTCAGGCATGGGATGCCACCATGTCCTTCCTCTGCATCAGACAGTGTGAGAGTTTCATGGATTGCTGAGAACCCTTGGAGATAAATCCTGCTGTGAGGCTGCATGGGTGGATCCAGTAGGATTGGGTCACCCTTTGGTTGGAGAAGGTGGATCCCAGCAGCCCAGTGTCAGACACAGGGATGACCCTGGGGTTGGAGACCTTTGATACTGCAGGGGCTCATCCTGTGGTTGGGCAGGAAAGCTCTTGGGTCACCTCTGATACCTCCCGTGGCAAACTCAGGGTGGATGGAGGGAGGTTTCCCATGGGTTTTCCACCTTCCTGGTGGCTGCACTCCTCCGGAATGCTTGTAAACCTTCCCGATGGCTGTGCACCTTTCCAAGGGGTGGGGGACCTTCCCAATGGTTACAGATCTTCCCAAGGGTTCACAGATTAATTTAGGTTGGAAAGGACCTCTAAGATCATTGGGTCCAAAGGCTGTGGAGCTCCCCAAGAGTTGTGGAGCTCCCCAAAAGTTGTGGAGCTCCCCAAAAGTTGTGGAGCTTCCCAAAAGTTGTAAAACTTCCCAAGATTTGTGGAGCTTCCCAGGGGTTGTGAAACTTCCCAAGATTTGTGGAGCTTCCCAGGGGTTGTGAAACTTCCCAGGTTTGTGGAGCTTCCCAAGGATTGTGGGTCTTCAAAAGGGTTGTGGAGCTTTCTAAAAGTTGTGATACTTAACAAGGGTTGTGGAGGTTCCCAAGGTTTGTAGAACTTCCCAAGGGTTGTGGATTTTCCCAAAGGTTTGAAGAACTTCCCAAGGGTTGTGGAGCTTCCTAAAAGTTGTGGGTCTTCCCAAGGGTTGTAGATCTTCCCAAGGGTTATGGATTTTCCCAGGGGTTGTGGAGCTTCCTAAAAGTTGTGATTCTTCCCAAAGGCTGTGATTCTTCCCAAAGGCTGTGATTCTTCCCAAAGGTTGTGATTCTTCCCAAAGGTTGTGATTCTTCCCAAAGGTTGTGGGTCTTCCCAAAGGTTGTGGGTCTTCCCAAAGGTTGTGGGTCTTCCCAAAGGTTGTGGGTCTTCCCAAAGGTTGTGGGTCTTCCAAAGGTTTGTGGAACTTCCCAAGGGTTGTGGATTTTCCAAGGATTGTGCAGCTTCCCAAAGGTTATGAAGCTTCCCAAAGGTTGTGAAGCTTCCCTAAGGTTGAGAAGGTTCCCAAAAGTTGAGAAACTTCCCAAAGGTTGAGAAGGTTCCCAAAAGTTGAGAAGCTTCCTAAAGGTTTTGAGTCTTCCCAAGGTTTTTGGAACTTCCCAAGGATTGTGAAGCTGCCCAAAGATTGTGGGTCTTCCCAAGGGAGAGTGGGAGGAACATGGGAGGGTGGGGTGGTGGTAGATAGGTCCCCAAGAAGAAGGACCAAGGAGGGACTTTCGGGGACCCCCCACCCCTGTATCACCACCCTCCCCATCTCTTCCAGCGCCCGTCACCGGCCGATGCTGACACCCCTTCCCCGCCAATCCCCGGATCCCACACCTCCATCCCAGAGCCCTCCCCCGGCCATGCCCCAGCGGAGCATGGGGGGCTCCGGATCGCGCCCCGCGCCGCCTGCGTCCCCCCGTGCCGGGCCGTGAGCGCCGGGGCGCCGCGCTGAGGGATGGCCTCGCTGGACCTGCCCTACCGGTGCCCGCGCTGCGGGGAGCACAAGCGCTTCCGCAGCCTGTCCTCGCTGCGGGCGCACCTGGAGTACAACCACACCTACGAGACCCTCTACGTCCTCTCCAAGACCAACAGCATCTGCGATGCCGCCGTCTTCCCGCTGGCCGCCGACGGGGCGCTGCTGGCGCCGGCGGCGCGCCGGGACTACTTCGAGAGCACCTCCTTCCAGGGCAAGGACCAGCGCTTCTCCTGCGACCTGGTGCCCGCCGAGGAGCTGGAGCCGGCGCCGTCCTCCTCGCCCTCGCCCCGCTACGTCCACGAGATCGAGATCCCGCTGACGGAGATCTTCGCCCGCGGCAAGGCCGTGGCGCCGGCGCCGGCGCCGCAGGCCGCGATGGACGCGGCCTACGAGGAGGGGCTGGCGCGGCTGAAGATCCGCGCCTTCGAGAAGCTGGAGGTGGACAAGCGGCTGGAGAAGCTGACGGAGGAGGTGGAGCAGAAGATCGCCTCGCAGGTGGGCCGGCTCCAGGTGGAGCTGGACCGCAAGAGCTCGGAGCTGGAGAAGGCCAAGCAGGAGAGCCTGCGGCTGAGCCGGGAGAAGCAGGAGCTGGAGGACCGGGCGTCGGAGCTGTCGCGCCAGGTGGATGTCAGCGTGGAGATGTTGGCCTCCCTCAAGCAGGACCTGGTGCAGAAGGAGCAGGAGCTCACCCGCAAGCAACAGTGAGTCCTTTTACCCATCCCTTCCCGGCTGCGGGGTGGGGGGAAATGGGTCCCTGGTGGTGAATCCCAGAGAAATTGTGGATGTCCCATCCCTGGAGGTGCTCAAGGCCAGGCTGGGTGCAGCTCTGAGCAAGCTGGCCTAGTGGAAGGTGTCCCTGCCCATAGAACAGGGTGATCTTTAAGATCCTTTCCAACCCAAACCATTCCACGATTCTGTGAGTGCGGAGGAGCCCAACACCATCACCAAGCCCTCAGACCGAGTGTTCAGGCACAATTCCCTTGGCTGTTCCCATCAGCATCACCCCTCATCAGGTGTTGCATCTTCTCCCACGTGGTCAATGTCCACATAGTCCTCAGCCCCTCCATGAGAGAGTCCAGCCTGGATCACACCTTGCCAGACCTTGCCCTGGAGCCACCAGTGCTCTCAGGACATGGCCAGGCTGGAGATCACAGAAACATGGAATGGTCTGGGTTGGAAGGGACCTTAAATCCCCTGCCATGGGCAGGGACACCTCCCACTAGAAGCACGTGGCCATCCTGCTGTCCTGCCAAGGGACGTGGTGGGGGCCATGGTGCTGCAGCCCATCTCCAGTCCCAAAGGATGTCCCCCCAAACCCAGGACTGGCTCATCCCCTCTGACTCCACAGCTGAGTTATCCATCCCTGTCCAACCTGAGCATCCCACTGACCTGTCCCATGGTCTAATAAACGTGAGAGTGGCCACCTTGGCCTTGCCAAATTCAGGGGGTTTCTCCCAGAAGGAGGGCGGGACAGCCCAAGCACCGTGACCTCCCTTTGCTGGTAGGACCATGGCCTTGCCATCCTGGTTTTCATTCCATATCCCCCACTCAACGCCCCCTTCCCACCCCAACCCTGCTCCCAGTTTTCCCTCCAGCCAAGCATCGGGTCATTTTGTTGCCCCAGCAAACTAGACCTTGTTCCTCAGGAGTTTCTTGTCAAATCCCAAGGCCACCACGGGGTCCAGAAAGTCAGTGAGGAGCAGGATACTGAGGGACAGTCATGGTTGTGCTGTGCTGGGAGCACTGGGTGGATTCCTCAAGGATTTGTCTTCATCCCCACCATCCTCAGCATGTTTATTAATGATTTTGACTCCAAAATAACGACTGTGGCTTGGGAAGAGGGTTCACAGGACGTGGTGGTGGTGAGGATGGTCTGGGGTGAGAATGGGATGATGTTGGGGCTTGATAAGGACACCACCTCTTAGTTTGGGGGCATGTGGGGGGTTTAGGGGGCTGCCATCAGCTGCCTCGTGGGTGTTGTCCAGAAGCATTTTGGGGATATGTGGTGATGGAATGAGGGACACCATTCCTGCTGGAGACATGCAGACAGGGTAAACAGAGGATGACCAACGGGTCAAACGTGTCTTGGTCAGTCCATGGTGGAGCCTGGACATTGTTACCACCTAAAAACCTGTGTTTATGCCCCAAAACAACTTTCCGAATCTCCCTTTCTTTAGATAAACCCTCCTGCCCCTCCACTGTCCCCATCAGTCCCCAAACTCCTCCAGCCACCCAGAGGGACAAAATCCCTTTCCAGGTTGCAGGGAGAGCGTGGGAAGAGCTGATGGTCAGAGATGCTTTTTCCCCTAGACGTGGGCAAGTCATCAGAAACCATTTTCAGTGCCAAAAACATCATGGGGACAATTCCCAGCCCTGCCAGCTCCCAAACATCACGGAGCCGTTGTCCCCACGGGAGCCTTTTTGCTCCCGGGCTCCGTTTGCTTTGCCAGGGGTGTTTTTCCACCCAGTTCATGGGAATGAGAGAGAAGCAGGTGATAACCATCAGCATCACCTTACACCTGCTGCCCAGTGCCCCATTTGCCTTCCAAATCTCCGTAGGCCCCTCGCTGGGAGCCTTCCCAGGGCATCAACTGGAGCTCCAAGGCTCAACCTGCAGTTGGCAGGTTGAGGGAGGGGATTAAATGGTGATTAATTGGTAATTAAATGGTGATTAATGTCCAGCAATGGGAACTATGTTGCTGAGGGCTGTCCCTTCCTTTTTCTTTGGGCTTCTGAGTAGAACTGGTGTGCCCAGGTTTGCATGGCCAGGGGTGCAGGGTTGGGTATGTGGTCGGGCGTGCATGGTCAGGTGTCCAAGGTCAGGTTTCTGTGGTCAGGTGGGTGTTCATGGCTGGGTCAGGTGTGTGGTCAGGTGTCCAAGATCAGGTTTCTGTGGTCAGGTGAGTGTCCAGGGTTGAGAGTGATGGTTGGGTGTGTGGTCAGGTTTCTGTGGTCAGGTGAGTGTCCAGGGCTGGGTCAGGTGTGTGGTCAGGTGTCCAAGATCAGATTTCTGTGATCAGGTGGGTGTTCATGGCTGGGTGTTCATGGTTGGGTGTGTGGTCAGGTGTCCAAGGTCAAGTTTCTGTGGTCAGGTGGGTGTCCAGAGCTGGGTGTGATGGTCAGGTGTGCACGGTCAGGTGTCCAAGGTCAGATTTCTGTGGTCAGATGGGTGTCCAGGGATGGGTGTGATGGTTGGGTGTGTGGTCAGGTGTCCAAGGTCAGGTTTCTGTGGTCAGGCGGGTGTCCAGGGCTGGGTCAGGTGTGTGGTCAGGTGTCCAAGATCAGGTTTCTGTGGTCAGGTGGGTGTTCAGGGCTGGGTGTGATGGTCAGGTGTGTACAGTCAGGTGTCCAAGGTCAGGTGTGTGTGGTCAGGTGAGTGTCCAGGGCTGAGTGTGGTGGTTGAGTGCATGGTCAGGTGTCCAAGGTCAGGACTCTGTGGTCAGGTGGGTGTTCAGGGCTGGGTGTTCATGGTTGGGTGTGTGGTCGGGTGTTCATGGTTGGGTGTGTGTGGTCAGGTGAGTGTCCAGGGCTGGGTGTGATGGTTGGGTCTGTGGTCAGGTGTCCAAGGTGAGGTTTCTGTGGTCAGGTGTCCAAGGTGAGGTTTCTGTGGTCAGGTGTGCACGGTCAGGCACCCAAGGTTCCGGTGTGTGTGGTCAGATGTGTCCAAGACAGATGTGCCAAGCTGTGTTTGTGTTTGTGCCCCTTCTGGGGCTCCTGGCTGCTGAGGGAAGGTGTGAGGTGGTTGTGCCTGTGTGTGTGTGTGTGCACCATGTGCACCATCAACCATACACGTGTGTCTGGTGCCAGGGATGTGTGTGACCAGCTGTACCTGTGCCTGGGGGTGTGTGTGCCCATGGAATGGTTTGGGTTGAAGGGACCTTAAAGATCATCTTGTTCCACCACCTGCCATTGCCAGGGACACCTTCCACTAGACCAGGTTGCTCCAACCTGGCCTTGGACACTTCCAGGGATCCAGGGGCAGCCACAGCTTCTCTGCCCAACCTGTACCGGTGCCTCCCCACCCTCTGTGTGTCTGTGCCCATGTCAGGGTGTACATTGGGTCCGTGTTTCCCTGGTGTGTGTGGTGCCCTCGTGGGTGTGCAGGACAGCTCTGGGTGTGTGTCCCTGGGTGTGTCTGTGTGTGCTTACAGGGCACCTCCATCTGCAGGGCTGGGGTGGCCACAGCTGCTCACTGGTGTGTCGTGTCTGCGTGTAATTCCATGTGTTTTTGGGAAGTGGATAAGGCCAGTGGATGTTTGTGTGGGTGGGGTGGGTGGGATGGGGCCAGCTGGGGTGGCTGAGCTGCTGCCCCCCAGAGCTGACCACATTTTGGGGTGAAACCAGCCCATCTACAGGCTCAGAGAACCTGCTAATTATTGTGTTAATGAAGGAGCCAGGGCTCTGCAGCCACTGGGCTTAAGGGGGTACAGGGCTGAGGGGGTTTAGGGAAGTCAGGCTGCTCCTAAGGTCTTTCCTAAGTCTGCCCCAGAGGAAGCAGGATACCACCTCCATCCTCCTCCATCATCCCACTGCACCATCATCCTCTTCCTCCCTCTGCTCCATCAAGCTCAGGAGCCTGACTCTAGTCCTGGAGGTGATGCACGAGGTGCTGGGGATGTCACCTCCTCCCTAAAACATCCACCCTGCACAGTGGGAGCATCCCTTGGTCCCCGCTCTGCCCCAAACCACCTCAGGAGCCCCTTGGGCTGGCACAGACCCAGGCCAGGCTGATGACAGAACAACCCGGGTGCACACGAGCGTCCTTGACCCCCAGCCCAGCTCGGAGGTGCTCCCCAGGGACAGGTGGGGAAGGACTGGGGTGTCACCCGCCGGTCCCTCCGCGCAGGGAGGTGCTGCAGATCGACCAGTTCCTGAAGGAGACGGCGGCGCGCGAGGCCAACGCCAAGGTCCGGCTCCAGCACTTCATCGAGGAGCTGCTGGACCGGGCGGATCGGG